TATATATATATATATACATATATACATACATACATACATACACATATCACGAGAAAAGTGGTCTATGCATGATTGTAGACAAGGTCATATAAAATCATGCATTAAATAATGTACAATTTTGAATGCTTTATTTAATAAAAATTGAAATTTGAGCAAAAACAAGAAAAAAATGGAAATCTGTTAAAAATGTATAATTTAGCAATAAGGACATCGGATTCCGGATCCTTCAGTTCGGAGAAAGTTGAAATTAAAATTTTATTTATGCCAAAAAGCATGCAGATTGCAGACGGAGGATTAAAAAGATCTATCTTTCAGTTTATAAAGTGCAATCAAATTTCGCTGGTTATTATTATTCAGTTAGAGTAAAAAGTTCCTGGAACGTATTAATTGCTATCGCAGCGTTATTGCGACACCCACCGAGTACTAGGCAATAAATATTTTCGGGCGATCTTTTTCATCATATTCCATAATTGGTGCCCGTAAATGAAATCCAGTCGAAACGAAAGGGAGATGAGCTAATGAAAATTACTATAAGGATCTAAATTGTATTCGGTGGAGCTTTGGAAAAGACAAAGTATAATATTCAAAGTAAGTTGGAGCGATAATCCCGCGCTGCTGTATCTAAATCTTAGTAATTTGCCATAATCTTTTTGACCCAAATGTCTGTTTAATGTAAACGGAGACACACAAAATTGATTTATTCAGAAAAGCTCTTTTCATAAAAGCACGCGCAATATATCTACTGGAACAATTTATTTCTATTTGTAACAATTTATTTCATTAGTATTTTCAGATAATTTATAATGATCATAAAATACACAGAAAGTGATAAAATATTTCAAACGCATGAATGTGAGTAAATACGATTGTTGGTTGGAAAAGTTCAGTTTGTCCGACTAAGGGGAGGGAGAGGGACATAGCGTTAAATCACGTTAGCGCAGCCATTCGTTAAAGGTTAAGATCGTAACGAGAACGGGTTCTGTGATTTTGCGAATAATTATACGAAAGAATTACCTTGAACCGTATCAAAGGCACGTTGCGCCTCGTGATATCGAATATATCTAGGGATCGACCGCTTAACGGTCAAACGCGCGGCATGGCTCGATGCTCGTCAATGACTCGCGGCACGCCTGGTTGAACACTCCTGGTTGGAGGCAGGAGAGAAGAACGAAGAACGCTTCGTTACTCCCTGAGTTCCTTTTTCTTATATCCCTCTAAGCTCGTGCGGGAGCTTACGGTTAGCTCATCATTCGGTAACTTTTACTTGATCTGTTGCACAAAAACCGCAAATCTGTTGACTATCGCGTTGCATACCAAACGAGCCACAGGTCTGAATAATAACATTGCTTCAAATTTAAAGAATTTAAAGAATTTAAATTTCTCTGTTCCAATAAGAACAACATATATCCGAGCCGCTTCGAAAAGTAATGTCACTTATGCGATATAATATATAATCGTGATATTAGATTAAAAAGAATATTTCGAGATTTCTTAATCGAATATTCATTTGCTGTGCATATACATACATTTTAATATCTTAATATTTCTACATATTTTATAATTATTATTATAAAAATAATACAGTTAAAGATATGATTATTGAAGGACTATTAAGATCTTTAATATTTCTCAGAGGATATAGATTTACTGTAAAAGTATAAATCCAGAGGATGTAGCTTTATTAAAAGTAATCCAGAATTTATTTTAATCTTATCTCATAGGTGCTTCTTTCTCAAAATAAAACGATTTAATCTGCTGACATTTTCTTAAATGTAATGCTACAAAAGACGAGAATTGTATTAAAAATAGCATACGAAAAATCAATAATTGCGTGTTCATCTCGTTCCTTTCGTAAGTTTCTA